CAGTTCTTCCAGGCTTTGTCCTGCAGCAGGAGCCCCAGGGAGGTGGTGCAGGACCCCCATGTGCTCCAGCAGGGCAGTCAGTGAGTTGCCTGCAGTTCCACACCATGGGAGATGAGAGAACCTTTTCCCTCTGCCCTGAGCTGGCAGCAGTCAGGGCATCAGGCAGGGCATCAGCTCCATGAGAACCTTTTCACCCTGTCCTGACCTGGCACAGTCAGGGCATCAGGCAGGGCAGGGCAGCAGCTCCATGAGGACCTTTCCCCAGTGCTCAGACCTGGCACAGTTGGGGCTCCAGGCAGGGCAGGGCAGCAGCTCCATGAGAACCTTTCCCCAGTGCTCAGACCTGGCACAGTCAGGGCATCAGGCAGGGCAGGGCAGCAGCTCCATGCCAGGGACGCCTTTGGGAGCCTGGCAGAGATGCAGGCAGCACTCCCAGGTGTTCCTGAGCCCTGCTGTGACCTCCCTCAGGTGACATGGGCATGGCTGAAGGGCTCTGTAGGGCTGGGATTGGGACAGGTGATGCCAGGAGGAGCAGAGTTCATTGTCCTGGATGCTGTGGCTGTAGGCTGGCGTTCGCTGCTGCTGTAACTGAGTTCAGAAAGGAGCCACGCTGATTTGGTGAGCTTGGCTGGGACCTCTGCCAACAAAATTAAAAGGGAGACTCTGGGACACACATGGCTTGCTCACAGACACGCCAGTGTGGATGCAGCAGCTTTACAATCCTGCGTGTTCACCTGTGTCAGACAGGAAAAAAAGATGAAGCCGGTTTGTTTTTGAGAACAGGAGGAGATCAGGAGAGCAAAGGACCAGGGGAAAGCAAATGCTGTGCTGACTGGCAAAGAGACTGCTCTCTTTGTGTTCTTTGTGCTTGACTGAAATGTCTTCACAGGATTTTTTTCCCTCTAATCTGGAAATAATTCTGATTTATTTTCAGCCTTCTATTAGGAGGAGTCAGGCAGCAGCGGCTGGCGGCCGCCTCGGTGTGCTTCCTTCAGGGCTGCTGCCTTCCTCACTTGGCACTGCAGTCAATTCTTGTGTTTTCAATTATATATAAAAGGCAATGATGGAGGTTTCCAGCTTTTATAGCACCACAAATCACAGGGTCCTTCTCTGTACAGCACTGCCACAGTGCAGCACGGGGCATCACAGCTTCTCTTGCAGGCCATCAGGGACCCCAGACTGCACAGGGACACCTGGGGAGGGCAAACCTTCACTGGCAGCCGCTCCTCTGCACGGTTCTCAGCCAGCAGCCCCTGGCTGACACACAGGACAGGGCAGGGTGACCCTGGGCTGTGCCGTGGAGGGGCAGGGAGATTTCTGTGTGCTCCACATGGGCACAGCACGTCTGTAAGGAGCTCCTGTGGGCAAGGAAGGGTTAAGGTGAGGACATCACTGGTGACAAGGGCCATGGCACAGAGGGTGACACTGGCTGCAGCACTTCTGGGGCTGGTTATTCTGCCAGCTGTAAGTTACTGGGTAGACTTGAAGTGAGTATGCTGGGAAACTGTTGGGATCTGTTTCACAGAGTGATCCTTTCATTGTACATAATATCCTAACATCATCACCATCATGATTGAGGTGTTTGGAATGGTCCTGTGTCACCCAGAGCACACCCTGGACCCCTGTGCTCCTCTGCAGGGTAAAGGATAAGGTAAGGGTACAGGAGAGGAGGATTCACCATGGTAAAGAAAGCTGTTAGTTCAGAGAGACAGGGACCAGAGAGACCCTGAGAGACTCAGTTAACTGCAGCTGGCTGCCAGCGAGGGCTGGTTTTGAGCCTCAACTGGAAAAAAAAAAAAAAAAAAAGAAAACCAAAAAAAAGAAGAAAAAAACCCATTCCTATAAAATGGCTGCTGGTGTAGGTGCTGCACTGTTGCTGGGGGATGATGATGAACGGGCATTCAGAGTTTGCTGGATGTCAGGCATCACTGGAGGAACTGGGAATGCTGCTGACATAAATCAGGGGCAGACTGGAGGACTGGAAGGATTCTCTGGAAAGAAAAGGAACTCAGAATTTCTTAGGCAAAACAATAATGGCTTCCATGGATCCGGGTGCAGAGGATGGACAAACAGACCCAAAGCTGTGGGAGAGGGAGGGGAGGGCCCTTGAGTGTCCTGCAGTCTGTGGCTGTCTGCCCACAGGAAGGCAGAGGGTATCCTGTCTGGACTGGATAAATCTTGGAAATGGCATTTGAAGTGGATGTGAAATAGGGTTTGGAGGGAGCTAGAGCCTGGGAGAAGATCTGGCTGGATGGAATATAAAATCCATTAGTGTCTTAATGCATAAACTGGCAGAAGTGTACAACAGCAATGAAAAACAAGCTCCTGGGAGCCCAAACTGTTATTAGATTCTGGTGCCTCAGTGGCTGTGGAAATTAGTATTCTGCAAGAGCCAGGGTGCCCATGAGGTGCCCCAAGAGACAGGGGTGTACAGGGCTCTCCTGTGGGGCAGGGACAGTCTCAGCTCTGCCCCACACACCCTCCAGTGCAAACTGCTTATGGACACTGTGCCTGAGGGCTTTTGTATTCAGCATCATGTACAGGATAAAAAATGGGCTTTTCAGCAGCCTGTTCCTTAAACAAAACAGGTGAGTTCAGATCTGACTAACTGTGCAAGTATAATACAGAAATAGAAAGACTCATAATTACCTTGCCTACAAAATGATGTTTTCCTGTAAAGGCTCCTGAAACAGTCAGAGGAGCTCGGGATGAGGGTCAGTTACCTTTCTGCAAGTATAAGCTTGAGCTAAGTTGGAGTATGGGAAGATTAATGCCTTTGCTTTAATAGCAGGGCTTGATCCAAGGCTGCAGAAATGCTGTGAGTACCCAGGCAGAGCCTGCTGGATCAGGGAGTGCCAGTGCAGTGACCCAGGTGTGTAATTCCCCTGTGGGGCTGGCACTAAAGGGAAATAGAGAGATGCATCTGACTGTGGATTCCAGAGCATTAAATGCTGTAATTCTGCAAACATCACTTCTTCTTGTTAAAATGCCAGAAATTACGGCTGCAGCAGTACGAGGAGCTAAGTGGTTTTTGGCCATAGATCCAGCAAAGGCATTTTTCTTCAGCTCTTCAGCAGAGAAATGTTGGTAAAAGTTTGGGGTTTACAGTTCAGGAGGGGAAAACAATATTTCACTTGAGTTCCTCAAGGATTTCACCAGCTCCTGTGGTCTGTCACACAACCATCACCCAGATGTGGGGAAATTAGCCTGCAGGAGGTGTGTGACCTCAGATGTGCTCACACCTGAACTGGGCAGATTCTGCAGAACAGAACAAGTGTGTCAGCAGACTGGAGGATCTGGCTGCAGTCCAGGAGGGAGGATTGAAAGTCAACAGACAAAAGGTTCAATTAGTACAACAAGAGGTAAAATATTTAGGAGCTATACGAGGCATTGAAGGCCAGGCTCCTGATAAACAGAGTGTGGAGTTAATTCCAAAGCTGCCCAGCCCCATGCTCTGCCTGGCTGAGAGCACTGTACTGCACAGTTAATTGTATGCAGGATTTTATTCTGATGCTCACTGAAGTGAGTCATCCTCCAGCTAAGCTTTTAGAGAAACCCAGGCAGTGGGAGCAGGGTGCAGGGCAGCAGCTCAGTCAGGCTGAAGCTGCAGAGCTGGGCTGGCTGGACCCAGGAATCACCTCATGCATGGTTTGCCTCTGTCAGCCAGGGAAACAAGTGCCAATTTGGCACAAAGAGGAGGATACCGTGTTCCAGGCTATTGTCTGTGCATCTCCAATCTTATTGACACCGCAGCTCCTTGTCAAAAGGAATGAGTATATTTAGTCTGGAAATCAGAAAAATTGGATTATCTCGTTGGAGGGCGGCCAGTGGCACAACACCCTAGTCATGCTTCCTTGAAATACAGCGTGCTCAGTGCAGCACAGGATGGGCCTGGGGAGCCCTGGGTGGGGGACAGGACAGGGACGGGGACGGGACAGAGACAGGGACAAGGACAGGGACAGGGACAAGGACAGGGACAGGGAGGGCTGGAGCAGGACACAGGGCACCAGCAGCTCTGAGCTCCAGCGGTGCAGGGCACTGAGCTGAGGTGCTGCAGCCTCCTGATGGGCATGGGCTGTGCAGGTTGAATTGCCTCTGCCAGGACAGATCCCCATGCAGCAGAGATGAGATGTGCTGTACAGGTGCTGGGGCTTCTCAAGTAGCTGGCTGATAATTGCTGCCCCGAGATGTGCAGGATGTCTCTGCTTTGGCCCGCGCGGCTGAAGAACAAGTCAGAGCTCGTTCTTGAGGTTGTTTATTAATCACTTTTCGGTCTTGAGGTTGTTTATTAATTCTTATCTATAAAATTTCCTTTCTGCCCAGCCAAGGTCTGTTCAGCAGGGCAGCCACAGGCACTCTGACTGCCCCTGAGGTGATGTAGTCCTTTTATACTACAAACTATGTATAACATATTTACACTTAATTCCTAGTAACCATCACCTATGTTAGACAGAGAGCTTCTATTCTAAATATAACATATTTACACTTAATTCCCAATACCTATCACCTATGTTAGACAGAGAGCTTCTATTCTAAATATAACATATTTACAATTACTTTCCAATACCTATCACCTATGTTAGACAGTGAGCTCCTATTCTAAATATAACATATTTACACTTAATTCCCAATATCTTTCACCTATGTTAGACAGTGCACTTCTACTCTAAACCAATCCCAAAGTGCCAACATCACTGCAGAAAATGGAGAACAAGAAGAAGAATAAGAAAGGCTGGACACACCCATGTTCTTCCATCTTGTCCCCGTAACCTCCATACCAAAAATCCTAAAATCTACATTTTCACCCAATGATAATTTTATTATTGTACTATTCAAACTTCTGTGACTTTCAGGTCCTCATACAAAGCTGGTAACTTGTTCCAGGGGTCATAATCCAACCTGCAGGTGCTCTGGGCTGTGTGCCAGGGTCTCTGAGCCCCCTGGCAGCTCTGGACACCCGGAGGGATGCACTGAGCTCCACAGGGGCTGGGCAGAGCAGGGCTGGCTCAGGGTGGGCTCAGTGGGTGCAGAGCAGAGCAGGGGGCAGGGCAGGGCTCAGCTCACCTCGCTCCCTGCCAGTGGCAGCTGGCAGTGCCAGTCCCGCGGGCATTGTCAGCCCTGCTCCCCACGGGCTCAGCCACCAGGAAGGATTTCGTTTTGCTGAACAAGGTTTTTGTTACAAAGCAGCGAGTGCACAGAGCAGAATGCCCACAAACCTCAGGATGTGGAGAACTCAGCTTCCAAAGGAAGCTTGGAGGAGGTTAGTGCAGGTGAGTGGCAGAAAGGAGGATGTGGTGTTCCCATCTGAGTGACTCCACATCAGCTGCAGCCAGCCGTGGTTCTGCTCCTTTGAAGGCCTTGACATGAAGTGAGATATGACTCTGAGAGAATTGGTGGTTAAAAACTTCCTTATCAGATGAATAGCAACTGAAGGGTCTCACAGATTAATGAATAAAAGGTTCTGACAAACGACTGCAGGATAATCAACAAATAGCTGAGCAATTAGGGCAAAATGTTCATAGAATAGATAAAAGGCAGAAAATGGTAAATAATCAACATGAAGGATGGTGAGCAGGGGTTCAGGTAGTACATCATGGGCTCCAGCAAAGAGCACACCTGGGGCTGTGAGGGGGATGGATCTGGCACTAGCACAAATAAAGGCATTTCCATTGTTTATTAGTTCAGGATTAGTTCAGGTAAGTTCTGACAATGCTAGGCAGCTTCATCAATCACAGCCAGAGCTTTGGAAAGGAGAAAAACACCAAACTGAATGGAAAGTTGTCTTGATTTTCCAGGTGACAGAAAGGAGTGAGTGTCAACCATCACCAGAGCTGGACCAGCACAGAAACGTGGATCTGCTGTGGTGGGTAAGGACAGCTCTTCCAGCTGTATTGTGCATGGATTTTACTGGAGCTGGGCACCTGGTTGAGAGGTGTTGGGGTCTTTTTGTTCTGCCCACTGCATGCAGTGTGGTGCCTGTGTTTCACCCTGGAGGGATGCTCCCTGAGATGCCCACACTGTCTCCTCTGTGTCAGAGCATGGCCCTTTCCTGCAGCAGGGTGGTGCCCAGTGGGATAAAGGCATTTCAGCCTTGCTTGCACTGGGACCTGGGGCTCTCTCCTCTCTGGGGTGCCTGCTCTCTCCATCACCCACAGCTGGGTATGTTCAGGGCTGGCTCAGAGCTGCATCAGCCCCACTTTCCCATTGCCAGCCATGCTTTGCTGTGGCTGGAAGGAGCACACCAGCTCACCCAGCAGTTTGAAAGCCCTTATGTTTTATTTCCTTTTGCCTTCCCTCCGTTTCCCAGCCCCATCCAGTTTAATTTAAAAGTACTGTGCTCCCCTTTCCTGGGAGGCCAGCGTGTGTCTAGCAGGCAGTGTAGACACAGCCATGCACTATTGTTCCTGTCAGCTCCAATCACAGAGCCATCACCATCATGGCAAATCCCTTCCTCCCATCTGCATTCCTCTGCATCCCATCCTCCCTCAGACCTCCATCCCCAGCCCCTGCAAGCAATCCAGCAGCTGGGGAGGGAGGGCTGCCTTGTTATGGTGGGGGGTCTTTTTCCTGTCAGGAACTTGTTTTTTCTGCCAGCAGCTAGGATCTCTTGAGAGAAAGCAAACTGAAAACGTCTTTGAGCAGCCTCTTCTGTTCTGCCCTCCTGGTGCCAGTTGAAAATGAGAAGAAAAAGGTGTGTGTGGGGGAAGATTAAAAAAAATAAAGAAAAGAAAAAGCTCTTCAAAAAGGAAGGCTCTTCCAGAGCCCAAACAATCAATGGGACAATAGGAGAAGAGGATTGCAGCTCTGCTCCATCCCCAAGCTGGGCTCTGAAGTGGCCTGGGCGAGGAGCTGAACAGACAGAGCCTGGGCAGAGGGCAGAGCTGGAGCCAGCTGGGGCCAGCCCTGCAATCAGGCCCACGCTGAGGGCTGGGGGCTCTACCCAGGGCTGGGGACACAGGCAGCAGTGACCCCGAGCCCCAGCTCAGTGCCCTGGGCCTGCCCCACTGCACAATTCACCCCTGCGCCTGCCCCACTGCACAATTCACCCCTGAGGGCTCTGATAAAGACACACCTGCACAGCTGCAGGTGTGACCTCTTCTGTTTGCCACCAAAAACACAGAGGGAGAGAGTCAAGGATCATTAGCTGATGAGGCAAAACTGCCTCTTGCCTTGTGCTTCTATTTTTCCTGTGAGTATCACAGAAAAATTCCAATCAGCTGCTTGGGAGGCATAGCTTGCTTGTCATCCTTGCTGTGTCCAGGACAGGCCTCTGTGGAGGGCAGAAGAGAAATTCTGTTATAATTTGGGAGCAAATTACAGCAGTTTCTGCAGTTTGGGCAGCTCCAGCCTGTACACTCCCCATGCCATAGCTCCAGAGGCTGTCAGTGGCCCCAGAGAGCCTGCAGGCTCTGGGTAATGCTGCCAGCCCATCTCTGCCCAATTTTTGGTGAAGAAGAAGGATTTGCAGACACCAGGAACCAGAAGAAATCCATCCCCACCCCTCAGTGACCTCCTGAGGGTCCCTGGCTGTGCTGCACCAGCCAAGGGGCTTTGGCTTCTGGGGAAGGTCACTTGCCTCAGCAGGGAGGAGAAAAGATGGATCTGTGCCTCTGTAATTTTTTTTCTAAGCAGGTTAAAGAAAATTTGATAGAAAAAATATATGGTTTGAAACCTAAAGAGTCAAGGGTCCATTTGGTAGATTTTCCTTTAAGTTCTGAGTTTTCTGGGGATTATTTTATTATTTTATTTGGTGGTTGGATTTTTTTTTTTATTCTTTGCATTAGAAATCGTGTCAGTTGTCAAACAAGGCTGAAATTTGGTTCCAGATTGATTTGGTTTTTTTATGTCTAGCTTTCAGCATCCTCAAAGGCATCTAATTGTTCAGGACACAGTGAGTATCTGCACTTACAGAAATCAAGGCTGGAGTGGAGCTCCCCTGAAAGCCAGGCTCTGAGAAGCCAAGATTCATTTTCAGAAAGTAAGTGCTTTTCATTTTTCGGTTTCTCAAGGACTCTTTCAAGGGCCAAGCAGATGGCTGGGAGATCTGCAGAATGGAAACCTGCAGCTCTAATGGGGACACAGAAGTGTGTGTGGAGGGGGCTGTTTGTTTGGGGTTCTGTTAGCTCAATTGCCTTTTGGTTTGGCAGCAATTTGCACTGTTTATGCAGCTGGAATGCCACTGCATTTTCATGTGGACTCTCCCTTTTCGACAAAGGGCTGAGAAAATTGACACACTAACTCTGGGAGCTCCCCAGCAGCTCTGAGGCATAACCAGCAGAGATTTCCAGCTCAGAAACACGAGGGCAGGCAGCAGGAGAACAGCTCCGTTCCAGAACAGCTCTGGCTCCTTCTCAGGGGTCCATGGGGATGTGTGGGACACCAGGCTGGCCCCAGCTGCTCTCTGGGGCTGTGTTGGCCCTTTGGCAGGGCTGACCTGCCTGGCACAGGCTCCCTGTCCCCAGGGGTGAGGCCTGTGCCACAGGGAGGCAGTGGCAGCGCAGGTGTCCCCATGCCCCAGGGCCTGGCAGGCCTTCCACATGTTTGTACCTCACTAAATTCAGGCTAACGTCTTATTTTCCTGTCCTCTCCACATCATTCCCCTGGTGATTCACTGGAGCCTGCCTGGACACGTTCCTGTGAGAGGAACCTGCTGAGAAACCCACTCATGTGAGGGCAGAGAGCACCAGGATTGCCCAAAGGAGGCACAGGAATGCCTTCAGAGCTCCTGGTGAGAGGAACATGGTGAGGAACCCACCCCAGATTGCACCAGGATTGCCCAAAGGAGGCACAGGAATCCCTGCAGAGCTCCTGGTGTGAGGAACCCCATCCAGAGACCACCAGGGTTCCCAAAGCAGGCACAGGAATCCCTGCCAAGGGCACACACAGCTCAGGAATGGAGCATTAACTCCTCTCTCCCCACCTGGGCTGAGCACACTGCCCGTGCCATAAACAAATAGGGGAAACTGAGGCACAGCCAGGGTGGTGCCCACCCTGGGGAGCCCCAGGTGTGATCCTGCACCCACCCAGCCCAGGTTCCACTGGAGCAGGGCACACACACCCCCTCATGTTTGCCTGTGTTTGCTGTGTGCCTGTCCCACTCCTTTTCCTCGCTAGCCTGTCACAAGCATCACTAAAATATGCTTATCTCATGTATGCAAATAGCAGGATATTTATAAGATTCTTTGAAATTTCCATAATTGTGCTGTAAAAAAAAAAAAAAATCTCTTTGCTTATCTCACAAAGTGTTGTAACCACAGTGTTACTTTTATTGAAATCCAAAAATCACTCGGCAAAATAAGAATAGTTAGAAAACTGTCAGGTTTTTATATTTTTGAAATAGAAGGGAAAGAAAGTGAGCAAACCAGGCTTTATTATTTTAAATTAGAAACTTTAATGCTCACCAAAAAGGATATAAACTGTAAATGTATTTTAGCAGTTCCTAGAGAAAAAAGAGAGAGGTTTTAATAATAACACTGTGTGCTCCTATATCATTTTCATTAGAAAAATCTTGGAGCACTTTCAGCTTATTAAAGAATGGAATGCCTCAGAAGGCTCTCGGGAGGCACTGGAGGAAAGTAAAGTAACAAAAATATAAATCCACATTATTCTCCATCCTGAGGTTCCCTGGGGCTGGGGACAGCAGCTGCCCCTGGCACTGTGGGGTCCCTCTGCTCATTCTGGGGGTGAGTGAGCCAAAATATGGAAGGATTTTCCCAAATCTCCTGTCCTGGCCCATGGGGACACAGCAGGAGCTCTGGAGGGATCCCTGTGCCTCCTTTGGGAATTCTGGTGCTCTCTGGCCTCCCATGGGTGGGTTCCTCAGCGGTTCTTCACACCAGGCGCTCTTCAGGGATCCCTGTGCCTCCTTTGGGAATTCTGGTGCTCTCTGGGGTGGGTTCCTCACCATGTTCCTCATACCAGGAGCTCTGCAGGGATTCCTGCGCCTCCTTTGGGAATTCTGGCATTCTCTGGCCTCACATGAGTGGGTTCCTCACCATGTTCTTCACAGGAACGTGTCCAGGCAGGCTCCAGTGAATCACCCTGGGAATGATGTGGAGAGGACAGAAAAAACAAGATATTAGCCTAAATTTAGCAAGAGTGGTAAAATGCTCGCTGGAACAACAAAAAGAGGAAGAGAGGCTGTAAAGGTAGGGGGTATTCCCTGGTCTGATGAGGAAAATAATATTAAAAAGTCCCCAGTGTTTAATTTCAGGAAATCCAATAGCCCAGGCGAGTGCCCAGAAGAGGAACAGCGTGTTAACATATCTTAGATAAACAGGAGCCAAGTTGTTTCCCTGACAGGAACACGAGAGAGCCCATCAGTGCAGTGAGGGAGAATAATAAATTAAAAACCAGATGGTTCAAAGATGTGATTGCGTCTTCAGCTTCAGCAGGAAGAGAGAAGGGGAATACATATGGATTGCAGGCAGGCCAGGAACACAAAAGCCTGGAAAAAACACAAGAACAGGAGAGGCAGGCTCATCAGAATGAAATTAATTAAAAGAGCAGGACCTCAAGTTATTTTAGGTCCCAGTGGTAGAAACACCAGAATTCCAAGCTCCATTCTTCATTTGTACACAAAGTTTCCTGTTTCATCCCTGCTCAAAAAAGGACCTCTTCCTTTCTGAGCTAGATAGTGAGTCGAGGCAGATGGGAATTATTCTGAGCTTGGAGAAAACAAAGAAGCACAAATTAATGGCTTACTGGCAGAAAGGCAGTTTGAAGCGCTTTGCCAGAGCACATTTTATTCCTACCCTTATCCTACATAGATATTTTTTCCTTTAATTCTGCTCAGCACAGAAATGCATGACTAAGCAGAGATCCATATCTGCATCGTGCATAGGCTGGAGGGGGCACTAAACCAGGCAAAAATCAGACAAAAGGAGTGGGGGAGAGTCTGCAGTGCCTGTGCAGTGACTTAACAACTTGCTGCGTGTCGTTCAGCACACAGAAAATAGAACAAAATAGAACAACCCCCTCCTGGCAGCTTGAACTCTCCCATCCCATCCTTTCTGTGTGGGTTTCTGTGCATCTGCCTGCATTCTGTCACTCATACATGGACATATGTACAGTCACAGCCATCCCTGGTGCTCCACAGGCGCTGGTTGGAGAGGAGGAGCCCTGGTGGCCATGGACACCTTGGCCAGAACCCCACTTTGCCATCAGAGGAGGCTGTGCCTTTGGCTTGAGAAGGGGCAGGGTTTCACCCAGCCTCCCCTGCAGCAGCAAAGCTCCAAATCTGCAGCAGCAAAGCTCCAAATCTGCAGCAGGGCTCTCCCTGCCCGGGATTACGCTCAGCCATTTCTGGGACAAGCCTGGAAATGGTTTAACTGTGCAAATTTATCATGCATAAACAATTTAGGTTATGATACCGATAATATTTCAGTCTTAATTTGGCAAAATGATGGAGGCAGAAACTCAAACTGCACTTGTGTTTGAACAGTGTTGATTCTTCCGTAACTATTAACTTGCAAGACCTCAATTTGATATCCCCTGGGAACAGATTCCCTCTGTGCTGAGGGTGTTGGAAGCAGGAGATCAGGAGGTGGAGGTTCAGCTCTTGTTATGAGATTTTCAGCTGCTTTCTTAACTTCCTGTCACTCCTTTCCCCTGGTGTAAAATTAGGATAATGACATTTCTTCATATGACAGCAGCTTAAAGCTGAAATGCTCAGGTGGAAGGTGTTCTACACTTCAGAGATTATTGTTTATTACCACCACTGCTATTACTGATATTTCTGAGAGTTTCACTCTCACATATGCAATGAGGGCAAAATATTATGAACATTTTGCCTGATTTTGAACTTAAAACCAATTTTGTTGTGAATTAATTCCTTTGAATAGAATTATTCCTGAACTACATCAACTGGGGACCAGCTGCTGACCCCAAGTGTTTAAGAACTCCAGATAATCACTGATGAAAGGAGACAAAAATACATTTTATCTAAGAAGTATCTAATGTTGTGATAGAAACTGAAATTAAAGTATAATCCAGAGAGAGAGGGAGAGGGAGAGAGAGAGGGAGAGTGTTCTTTAATTAAAATCAGCTACCTCAAAAGATGGATTTTCTCAAGAGTGAAATTTGCACTGTGCTGAAGGCTTTCCACTTAAATCCTTCATGATGCAAGGAAAAAGAATTCTCAGGGAGTAATATTGGCATTAGCAGATAGCCACATTTCACAATAAGGGAAAATCTGCAGAGAAAAAGATGTATGGCCAATAGAATGGAAAGATGCACAAACCAGGGAACTCCCTGAAACACAAACACACGATTGTTCAGCAGCAAATGAATAGTTTGGCAGAGAAAGGGACACCAGATAGAGGCTTGAGGATAGAGGAAAGAAAATAAACCCAGAATCAGCAGAGACCAGTGAAAACAATGGGCACTTTGTGCCAGGAGATATGTTAAAAATACTGAAAGACGGTTTTAGATAACGTATTCAGGAGGATCCATGGGCCTCCCAGCAGCCCCTGGCAGCTCCTGGTCCTGGGCAAGCACAGGTGGGGTCAGGGCATGGGGATGGGCAAGGGGATGGTGTGGAGGCAATGGGGACAGGGGGAGCAGTGGGGAACCAGGTGGGAACAGGGTGGAGGAAGGTGAAAGCAGGGGGAGCAGTGTGGGACCAGGTAGAAGCAGCAGGTGAGAGCCAGCATCCCCTGGGGCTGGGCAGCACTGCCTTCCCCATTGCAGAGCTGCTGCTGCTGGTGGTGATGATGATGGTGATGTGATGATGATGGTGATGATGGTGATGGTGATGGTGATGATGATGGTGATGGTGATGATGGTGATGGTGATGGTGATGGTGGCAGCTGTGCTGAGGGGATCACTCCCAATGCTGCTCATTGGGAATGCTCTCTCTTCCCAGGCTGGCTGCCATCCCAGCTGGTTCCCTGAGGCTCCTGGCCAGGCAGAGTGCTGGGTAGCTCTGGAGCTGTGGCAGGATTACCTTGCAGAGACTCCTTAAACCAGCATTTATTG